AAGAACCCGTTCGACCCTCTTCCCAGTCCAACTTTTGTAATTCAAACCTATATCCTATTTGTAGCATAGTAGTGGCTTATACCATTTCCAGTGCACTTTCCAATCGAATTGGCGCCCCTTTTTCAATATTAAAATAATTAATGTTATAGACTTTTACTCAATTGGCCTCCTTTTCAATATTAAAATATTTAATTGACATAAACTTTTACACAATCTGATCTAGGGATGGTTCGGTATGGGATACCATACCGAAACTAGTATCCCGAATCCCAAACCGAAATTTTTCGGGACCAGACTTTGAAGACCAATCTCAAACCAAATTTTCGGAAATCCCAAATTGAAATATGAAATTATGAATTGTTTTTCAAATATATAATTCAAGAACACATTCATGAACTAGGAATTTCATTTCATTCACACTACCATTTAATTGAACACTGACATGCCTGACTGTTTTTATCATAGTCAAAATTCAAATTAATTAAACCCTTTTTGCAATCTGTTGAGAGACAAAAGAATCAAGCCTTCTAAAATCATCAGCCATGGCAGCAACAATAATAAAATCCACATGAATAGCAAACAGAACATGAAAAATATGCAAGGTGTAGGGCATTCCAGGTTGCAGAGCATGAATTAGAAACTACTAGCATCAATTATAAAAGAATAATATATATATATATATGTATAAATATATATATATATAATAATAATAATTAATATTATATATTTTCGGTTCGGTATGGGATTCCCGAAATATCGAAAAGCCAATCCCGAATCCCATACCGAAATTTAGGGATTGGTTTGGGATAGCATCTCGAAAATTTCAGGAATTTTGGTTTGGGATCGGGATTGGGATTTTTTTAGTTCGGTTCAGGATTTTCGGGAATTTTTTCCACCCCTAATCTGATCAACTTCATTCCGTTTCCCAATAATAAAATAAATATTTTATTTGAAACAAAAAGATTTCACTCGTCCCATCATATAACTCTCGTTTTTTGTTCTCTCACATTGTCGAACAAGGATTGTCTGCCTTCCCACTTCCGATGTCCTTCTGTACCTCTTGTTTGTGTGGTCACGGTTAAGCCGTCAATATTTTATATTCATTTTTGTCTTATTATCTCTATAAAAAAAATTATATAAGATATTTACGTGGTTTAACCGTGACTACACAAAACAGAAGGACACGGGAGAGCATCGAAAGTGGGAGGGCAGACAATCTTTATCCCACATTGTCTCACCGGAGCAACAACTATAGTGCAGCATGAACTCCAAATCTCCACATGTTCTCATCTTTAATTCTTTGCAATTTGTCAATTTTATATAGATTGTCATCTCCATATGTAAATTAATTCAACAAATAATATTTGTTTTGTAGACTAGAAGATTACTTCCATTATTCCAACAAAGAAAACGAAATTGAAGTTTAGTTGACCTACAACCCAAAGTATGCATTTTACTCTCAATCCCTCTTGCAATTTTTGTTTCTAAATTACGGTTATTTTCTTACTAAATTGATGTCTTGTAATTTCTTTTAATTAATTGCCTAATTTGTTTTAGTTTGTAAAATTTAGTATATATGTTCATATTTCTTATAATTTAAAGTTAATCAATTTATATTTTTTAGTTTTCAGTTATGGAAAGGTATTTCAAAATAAAATCATAGCCTAAGATATTAGAGTTGTCGTCTCCAATGAGTCCAAAGAACAATAAAAGTAGTTTTGCCAATTTATATATTATGATGTTTTGGTTAATAGTTTTGCAAATACTATCCGTTTTTTTTCCTAACTTTTGTGGGAGGCCCCTCCTAAGTCGAAATCCTGGCTTCGCCATTGTCCATGGCTGAAGGTTAAGAAGTGAGATGGCAATGTTTGGGTCTGAAAGATTAGGGGGTGAAAGTGAATAACCTATTCTATTATTTACAAAAGCCAAATCAAAATTAATGAACCCTTTATTGAAAAAAATTAAAAATATATAAATTTCAAGGTTATATTTCCAACGAATGCATGAAAATTGAAGAAATATTATTAGGCTAAAAAAACAAGGAATATTTATTTTCTTTTATATAAGCGATATTAGGAAGAGGAGAACCAAACACATAATAAGGGAAAACCTATTGAACCTTGAAGAGGAGGAGGAGCAGGAACACCACTGGGAGATTGCTTGTGAGGAGGTACATCATCGGAGGTGGTTGTTGTTGATGAGAAGGAGGAGGAGGCCGGTGCTGGTAGTGATAACTCATTGTTGGTGTTCTCTAGATCGATTTTGTTGATTAATGAAAATGTAACCTTATGTAATTTTTTTGCTTTTAATGCAAAATGCTAGGAGATGGGTTTTCGTTGGCCAAGGAACCAAAAGAAATTTATCTCCATCAATATTCAATATCTAGAAAGGTTTGTTAATTCAAATTAGTCTGCAGTAAATCGCAGCTAACAAAATTATGTTTTAGTTTTGACACGCTGGATTGTTTAAAGTTAGGACCATGCAAATGGAAGATGTGAAATTTGTATTTGATAGCTTAAGTGAATTTTAACATGCAAATGGGAAAATTCTAAAAATAACTCAAGGTCCAAGAGGGTGGCCTTATATGGCCACTTTGTGGCGCTGGTAATCTTGAGAAAAAGTAATTTCACCTAGAGAATGAAAAAGATCTCCTCAAAATGAATTTTGTATTGCCTCCAGTATCTTAAACAACTTTATTGTTTGGAACAAAATTGAATAGTTGAGATCATATATTACAATTTCTTCCTCTTCTTCCTTATTTTGTAATGAATAATATATGAAAAAGTCACACAAATTTTCAACAAAAAACAGTCACATAACTGTTGCTTACCTCCGTACAATTCACATGTCTCACTTCTTAAACTCATGATGTTCTAGCATGCATACTATTCTTCATCTTTTTCTTTGTCAATTGCTTCTTTTTTTTTTAGGGAAAAATGCCAAAAGCAATCTTGAGAAATGATATCCAAATTTCACCTAGCTAGAGAATGAGAAATACCTCCCTAGAATGAATTTTTAATTTTCTCCAATATCTTAAACAACTTTATTGCTTGGAACAAAATCAAATAGTTGAGATCATATATTACACTTTCTTGCTCTTCTTCCTTATTTTGTAATGAACAATATATATGTAAAAGTCACATAATTTTTCAGCAAAAAACCGTCACATAACTGTTGTTTACCTCCATACAATTCACATGTCTCACTTCTTTGACTCATAATGTTATTGCATACATACTATTCTTCTTATTTTTCTTTGTCAATTGATTTTTTTTAGGACAAAATGCCAAAAGCAATCTTGAGGGATGGTATTCAAAGTTCACTTAGCAATGAGAAAGACCTCCTCAAAATGAATTTTTAATTTTCTCCAATATCTTAAACAACTTTATTACTCGAAACAAAATCAAATAGTTGAGATCATATATTACATTGTCTTTCTCTTCTTCCTTATTTCGTAATGAACAATATATGAAAAAAGTCACAAATTTTCAACAAAAAACGGTCGCAAAAATGTTGCTTACCTCTATACAATTGACATGTCTCACTTCTTAGACTCATAATGTTATAGCATGCATACTATTCTTATTCTTTTTTTCTTTGTCAATTATTTTTTTTAGGGTAAGGCCAAAAGCAATCTTGAGAAATGGTATCCGAATTTCACCTAAAGAACGAGACAAACCTCCTCGAAATGAATTTTTAATTTTCTCCAATATCTAAACAACTTTATTACTTGGAACACAATTGAATAGTTGAGATCATATATTACACCTTCTTGCTCTTATTCCTTATTTCGTAATGAACAATATATGAAAAAGTCACACAATTTTTCAGCAAAAAAGTCACATAACTGTTGTTTACCTCCATACAATTCACATGTCTCACTTCTTTGACTCATAATGTTATTGCATACATACTATTCTTGTTCTTTTTCTTTGTCAATTGCTTTTTTGAAGGGCAAAATGCCAAAAACACTTGCATTAATCAAATCAACACATACATGAATAACAACGTGCCAACAAAAATTGACTTGAAAAAACCCCGTTGTCAATGTTTTATTATTTTTTCTGATGTGATGTCCTCAAAATAAATGGTTAGATTGGCCCAACTGCTACGTTCTTTCATGTATAAATTGATAATGTTCGTGGCGGTGTCGTCATCTCTTGTATATATTTACCCCTTTGCAGTGATAGGTGTACGTAATACTATATACGCATCAATTCTCTCACTTTCCAACTCATTTTCTACGTTCTTCCGCTCTCTTCTTTTTAATACTATTGTCAACAACCTAATCAATTAAAATACATATGATAAACGAAAATTGCCGAGCAGCCATATGGCGTAATCTCTCTTGATGCGCTCGGCTTCCACTTGGTACTGTAGCCGGACATATTCGGTGTCTAATTCCCGTCAAGGCTCGGCGAACTTCGTCCAGTTCTTAATCCAGGCAAAGGCACCGCTCCACGTTCATAATCTCCCGTCCCTGGGACCACCTGCGGCCAGGGCAGTTGCTCAGGCATCTGTGCCAGCAAGGTGCGTGTTTTGATCGTCGAGAGAGCTGTGATGATGGTTTGTTCCATCTCAAGGCTCTACCGCGCAGATGGGCGATTTGCGCATCTAGGGCTTGCCGGCCCATCGGAAGGGTAGCCTCCGTCTGTGGCGCGAGCTCTGAGGTAGAGTTCCCGTTGAGGCCATGGAACGCGGGTCGGGAATAATCGAAAATTGGTCTTTGCCGGCGAAAATTGGTCTTTCCCCGTCAAAAATTTATTTCTTAGCTAAAATTGTCGGCTTACATTACATGGTCATCCAGAAAGCTTATTTTTTTTAGTGTAATTCGAATATCATAAAAATAATTTCATTTGAAAATATATAATATTTCAACAATTAAATTTCTGAATATTTTTCTTTTGGTTTTTACAACTATCCTCCATGAAGATATGAACTTTGCTCCCCTCTTCAATTTTATTATTTATATTTCGTGTAAAGCTTTTTACAAACCTTGTCAAGCGAGTGAGGGCTTTTCCTCAAGCATTAGATCGAGCATATTATTTGCTCAGAGTCACAGATAGATATTCCTTCTCCATCTCCTAAATTTCTATCCAAGCTCCTGATTCCTGATCAATAAACTAACAAGGCCAAATTTAATTTATTTAAAAGATTCAAAATAAATAGTACTACACCCTTTTTCACTGTCATATGTTTATAGGAATTGCAAATTGACACTCTAGAAGAAGATACAAAACCTAAATAATAGAGAAATATTTGGCAACTACATTTAGGAGAATAATTTTGTACAGAATATTCTTCGATCAAATAAGACTTCAATCACATTCCTCCCCATAAGCAATCCAACATACAGCAACAGCAGAGAGCAGCCAAGCTGCACCATTTATAAAATTGAAAGAGAAAAAAAAAAAAAAATTAGAGAATTCACTTAATTCATCTATCCCCTTAAAATACCATCATGCAAAATATAGAATATCATGCATAAGTTTGTATAAAATGGGTGAGGAAATTGTAAATATTAAGTCACGTAAAATGTCGTTGATCGTTAATTAAGAGCCAACACATTTTCGTATGCGTCCATACAAAGAGAACAAAGAAAGAAGAGGCGTAAACATACCAGCCATTCAAACAACCCGTGCTGCTACTAGTATTGGCTTGCTGATGATGGACAGGTTGGGGGTGATAATGAGGGGGATATCCTGGAGGAGGATAGCCGTGCGTAGGATATCCGGGAGGAGGGTAGCCCTGGGGAGGGTATCCTTGGGGAGGATAACCCTGGGGCGGATAACCTGGAGGCGGATAGCCTTGAGGAGGATACCCGTGTGGCGGAGAACTTGGAGGAAGATGCCCACGATGTGGAGAACCCTGAGGAGGATAGCCTGGAGGTGGAGATTGCCCTTGTGGAGGGAGGTATCCTTGCGGGGGATATGAAGGTGGTGGAGGAATGTCCCTGGGATACCCTTCAGGTGGTGGTGGATAACCTATTCCAGTATTTACAAAAGCCAAATCAAAATTAACGAACCCGTTATTGAAATATATAAATTTCAAGGTTATATTTCCAACAAATGCATGCGAATTCAAGGAAATATATGAGTATATACAAGCGATATTAGGGAGAGGAGAATCAAACACCAAATCTTGAGAAACCTATTGAACCTTGAGGAGGAGGAGCAGAAACACCACTTGGAGATTGCTGGTGAGGAGGAACATTATTGGGAGGCTGTGAAGGAGGTTGTTGTTGAGGAGGAGGAGGAGGAGGCTGGTGTTGGTTGTGATCACTCATTGTTGGTGTTCTCTAGACCGATTTTGTTGATTAATGAAAATTTTACCTTATGTAATTTCTTGCTTTTAATGCAAAAAGATAGGAGATGAGCTTTTGTTGGTCAAGGAACCAAGAGAGATTTATCTCCATCAATATCCAAAATCTAGGGAAGTTTGTTAATTCAAATGAGTCTATAGTAAATAGCGCGCGGCTAACAAAATTCTGTTTTAATTTTGACACGCTGGATTCCTTTAAAGTGAGAACATGAAAATGGAAAATATAAAATTTGTATTTGATGGCTTACATGAGAATTTTAACGCTTTGAAACTGTTTCAATATATAAGTTGTATTGAACTCTTTTAGATTTGTGATGTGAGACTTCACATTCTTCAACAATGATTAACATTATTGTATTGTTGAGAGAGCACTTGTGCACGATGTGATGCAAGTGAACGTCTTTGGAAAAGCTGTCGTAAAGTTATTTTGAAAGGGAGCTTTAAATACATCTCCATTTTTCATTGGAGTGATTTTTACAAATTTTTTTTGTTTTCACATTTTGCACCCCTCATCTTAGTTCTAGTCCTTGATTATCTTTTGACTTATTCAATCGAAGAACTAAAAGAAAAAGTATGTTGAAAGTCAAAATAGATGTGCAAAATTTATTTCTGTTTGAAATTGTTGGAGTTATATCCAAACAAATTATATCGTTGAAGAAAAAAAAACAAATTATATAATAATAAAAAGAAAAGATATAATTTTATTGGTACATATTGTGGGAGCAGTGTTAATCATGTTTTAGTTGTGTTAGTCCTGTATTTGTCGCATTTTATATTCGTGTATCTTTCGAGTCATGATAACATGTCGTGTCTGAAATCGACAATCTCAAATAGAGATAAATGAGTTTATATTACTGAATAGAGATAAATGAGGTTATGTACATGCTGTGAAGTTTGAACTGCTATTTGGATTCAGTGAGCTGTGAGCATACTAGCAAATGCTAAATTATTTCATTAAACATGTTACATAATTAGAGACGAAACGGGTTTATCAATGTGGTTGATGAGTCAATAGCATGTGGGCAGGTGATCACAATCGTACTTGTCCTTTTAAATTTGATGAAAATTTTCGATTTTGGTTCATTGTACAACTTAATTCTTTGTCAATGGTTCGATTAGAAAAGGAAAAGGAATGAATTGGTACACAACAATATATCTACATGAGAGATAAGAAAATGAATTGGTATTGAACTCGATATTCACAAATTTTTTGTTTAACCTAATTAAACATTGATAACTACTATTAAACTGTAGTACTAAGTATCGGGCTATAATTTTTCTTTTAACCTAATTAAACATTGATAACTAGAACAAATTTTGAAATTTTAAAATAAAATTTCATAATTAGGTAAATAAATAAAAAAGATTAAGACATGATCTAGTTTGTTCTCACTGCCCTAAAGTGGTGGTTTGGATGAATTAGATTTGATCTATCTATTAAACAAATTTTGAAATTTAAACCATAAATTAATATGGTGGTGATCATCACCACTACTTTAAGGCAATAAGCAAAAATGCACTCTATTGAGCAAAAATTGTTACAAAAACAAATAATTAATTTGATACAATTTCACCCTCATTCATCTTGATGAAGAGGGTTTCATTAAGTTGAGTTCGACCCATTCTATGCTATGTGCCTATTAATTACAACCCTTCTTTTGGGAAAGGAATACCCTTTGATTCTAACATGAAAAATATGTAATTTGAGGATTGATATGTCTGTTTGATTTTGTGACTGCATCTAGGTCAAGCCCTAGTTTGCCTACGTACCCTTTTAAGGGATTAAGTATGAACCAGGGATTCGATTTGGTGTTTTGGTTTTGCGGTTGTGTGTAGAATGTGAAACTAGATTGCCTACGTATCCTTGCTGGAATCAAACCGGTGTAGTTCTAAATGTATATTTTGGGATTTTGATGCCTTGTGCAAGTAAGGACCACTTGATATTTGATGTAGATTCGTGCTATTCGGTATTTGATACGACTTCGTACCATTTTAATGTTGAAGTGGCTTTGTGATATTTGAAATTTGATGCGGCTTCATGCCATTTGGAATTTGAATAATTACCATTGGATGAATTTGACTTAATCTATCTATTATACAAATCTTGAAATTGAAACTATTCTAAAGGAAATAAATATGCCCACCATCACTTTGGGTGTTTAGCCAAAAAAAAAAAAAAAAAAAAAAAAAAAAAAAAAACACACTCATTTTGTAGCCTTTGTAGTTTAAAAAGGATTTGGATCCTATTTGGACCCAAATTGTGGGGATCCTAGGGATATCCTCATATCTTAGTCATTCATCGTGTATCGTGCGGTCAGAAATCATTTGACTTTTTTTATTTAAAATGAAACACAAATAGTACCTGACGAAAATTGGTCGCACGATGTACGATGAACGGCTAAGATGTAGGGATCCCTAGGATCCCCACAAAATGAATCCGGAGATGATCCTCTTTCGTCAAAACTATCAACGTGCTGCCTTGAACTAACCTTTTTTTGTTTGACCAATAAAAAAAAATAAAAAATAAAAAAATCTTTTTCTTGAATTTCTTTTTGTTTAGTTTATCTACAATATTTATATTTTATAATCTAAACTATATATTAATAGAATTTCATTTGTCAATAAAAAACTAATAAAATTACAATTATAACCTTCAATACATAATTGAAAAAAAAATGTTAGAAAACAAAAAAATGTGGGCATTAAAGTAAGTTTGCAAAAATAATTTTTTTTTTTTTAACCTCACAACCATGTCGCCATATAACTACCCTCTAAAGTCATTCTCTCTCCCCTTCTCTTTCTCTCTCCTCAACTGCCAACACTTTTTTGTTTTCTTTTTTCTAATGCTTGCCTACCATAAAAAAAAAATATTTGAGAAAAATAAAAGCTATATTTCTCACACATAGAGTGTGTGACCTTTACTGGTAACAATTAAAAATTCTTTTTCTCAAATATGCACAAACAAACATCTACATATGTTGCAACCTAATTTTAAAGTTCAGTGATATTTCTCTTCATTTGTGAATGAGAAGTTTTAGATTCAATTCTCGTCAATTACAAGTTCGAATCAAATTGTTATTGTTTGCCTATTGTATGACTTAGCTCAATTTTTTTTTATCTCTTGGTGTAAATCATGTATCATTGTATATTATAAAATAAAAATAATAAACAAAAAACCACATGCACAAGTTGTAGCATGTGATGTCACATCCCGGCCTGGGCCCCCACCATATTTCGGGTTCGACTCTACCGTAGCACGATATTGTTCGCTTTGGGCCCCAACCACGCCCTCATTGTTTTGTTTGTGGAAACTCACACGAGAACTTCCCATCGCCCGAACTCGCTTAACTTCGGAGTTCCAATGAACTCCGAAGCTAATGAGCTCCCAAAAGGCCTCGTGTTAGGTAGAGATGGGAATATACATATAAGGCTTAGAGGATCCACTCCCCTGGGCGATGTGGGATCTTACAATCCACCCCCCTTAGGGGCTCGATGTCCTCGTTGGCACACTTGGCCAGGGATTGGCTCTGATACCAAATTGTCACATCCTGGCCCGGGCCCCCACTATATTCCGGGCTTGACTCCACCGTAGCACAATATTGTCCACTTTGAGCCCCGACCACGCCCTCACGGTTTTGTTTCTGGGAACTCACACGAGAACTTCCGAGTGGGTCACCCATCTTGGGAATGCTCTCACCCAAACTCGCTTGACTTCGGAGTTCCAATGAACTCCGAAGCCAATGAGCTCCCAAAAGGCCTCGTGCTAGGTAGAGATGAGAATATACATATAAGGCTTAGAGGATTCACTTCCATGGGCGATGTGGGATCTTACAATCCACCCCCCTTAGGGGCCCGACGTCTTCATCGGCACACTCGGCCAGGGATTGGCTCTGATACCAAATTGTCACATCCTGACCCGGGCTCGACTCCATTGTAGCACGATATTATCCGCTTTGGGCCCCGACCACGCCCTCACTGTTTTGTTTCTGGGAACTCACACGAGAACTTCCCAGTGGGTCACCCATCTTGGGAATGCTCTCACCCAAACTTCGAAGCCAATGAGCTCCCAAAAGGCCTCATGCTAGGTAGAGATGAGAATATACATATAAGGCTTAAAGGATCTACTCCCCTAGGCGATGTGAGATCTTACATGTGAGTTTTTCCATCTCAAGTTTTTATATTTATGTAGTTTATCTCCAAGATTTATATACTAAAATAGTATGTAATTATTTACTTTTTATTCGAGAAACTCGTACTAGATAATTGGCAGTTGAAGAATATTTTGATTAAGTCTTGAGATGTTTATATTCCGTAGACTTGTATTAAAAATGGTAGACCAAGTTAGAGGTTGAAAGCGAAAGAATCGTCCTCTTGCATTGGATCATATTCAACCATTTTCAGGGCTTTTATTAATTCTTCCAATTGTTTTATTTTATTTTCTCCTCTCTAATATTGCCAACATATGCACTTTTATTATGTTGGGAACAAGAACAAACTTGTGATTTGGTAAAGGGCCTAACCTGGGTTAAGTATTAAAAAAAGGGCATTGCTTTGCCTACTATATCTTTCGTTACATGATCAATCATTCCTTTATAAGGGAAGCGAGGACAAAGAGAACAAGACCACTTCAATCGTTTAAAACACAATTAACTCAAGGAAATCTAAACCGATTCCTTCCAAATTTATTCTTTTGTATTGCAATTCCATTGGAATAGCTTTCTAGCCATTTTCAATAACAAGAGCTCTTTTTGTTGTTGAATGCTTGTGATTCAATTCCTATACATTAGAAAAATATCAAAGCTCTTAAATAGGCAAGACATAGAAAAGAACTTGAACCTAATCCCCACTCGCTGCTCAATCGTTTAATTAGAAGTCTAAATCAATGGCGCAACAATCCTTTATGCCGGTCTACTGGTGACAACTAGTAGTACCAGTTTGGTACTGCTGTGATTATAGGCGGGTATC